TCACCCGCGTGCTCCCAGCGTACCCGCGTGCTCCCAGCTTATCCGCGTGCTCCCAGCTCACCCGCGTGCTCCCAGCGTACCCGCGTGCTCCCAGCTTATCCGCGTGCTCCCAGCTCACCCGCGTGCTCACAGTGTACCCGCTATGCTCCCAGCTTACCCGCGTGCTCCCAGCGTACCCGCATGCTCACAGTGTACCCGCGTGCTCCCAGCGTACCCGCGTGCTCCCAGCTTATCCGCGTGCTCCCAGCTCACCCGCGTGCTCCCAGCGTACCCGCATGCTCCCAGCTTACCCGCGTGCTCCCAGCGTACCCACGTGCTCCCAGTGTACCCGCGTGCTCCCAGCGTACCCGCGTGCTCCCAGCGTACCTGCACACACCCGCAAAGACTTACCTGCTCTGCCACTTTAATCTCCATAGAGGCCCTGCTGTATATAACACCACCAACAAGGAGAGAGCAGACACTGGAAAAGCAAAGCGGTCTCCTGCAGGGTTTTTCCATAAACTTTTTTTTGTAGCAGATGGCAAAATATACAATGGTTTTCCTTTATAAAAGATGATCTGGCCTACATCTGTTATGACCTTGCTTTAAATAATAGCATGTATGTTTATGATTGAAAATAGCTGTCTCTTCAGCCTAGCAATATGCCTGGAACACACAGTCCTGATGCTGAACCACCATAGCAAACAGCATTTGTGCAATAGTGCAGTTAAAACTTGCATTTGTTTAGAATTAAATGATAAATCACAGAACTACAGATTTCAAACTCGGCTCTCGAATATTTCTGAGTTTGGAAGCTTGCTTTTTGCTGCCGTGCAGATGGATGGATTTTATTTGTGGATCAGCGCTTACCGTTTGTTTGTGATTTGTACCCAAAGGTTGTTAGGTTAGTAGCCACAGCAAATCCACCCTAATGTGTCAGTGCATGTGTGAACCTCATCGCGATAAACTGGCGAGACCTGCTCAGTCTGCTAATGGTGATTCATGGAACTCAAATAATCGTCATCATACAAATGCAACTGCGAAACACACACTAAAATGAAACGAGGAAAACCCCCCAGCACAAAGAACAATAGACATGTGAAACAACAAAAAAGTACGAATACACAATGATCAACACGGGGAAACGTTAAAATAAATAATGATTGGAGGTTTCATGTCCCTAGGTCACTGTGTGTGTGGTTTTCTTCCCATAGTCCACAAATGAAATGTTTAGGGGAAATGGTGTATGTGGGCTCTGTGATGGACTGACAGCACATTCAGGGTGCCCTCTGGGGCTTCTGGGAGGAGTGGGCATGGAGGAGAAGGACGGAGGGATGATCCCCATGACTGATGTAGCAGCTGGCTGTTGGGGGGATACCTGAGAGTGGGGTAACTGAAAAAATACATAATGAGTAGAAAAACACCAAAGTTTTTATTAACAAAGAAGTGCCTGCAAGTTGTGAATAATGCAGTTTAATGCAATCGATCATTATGTGGTCTGTGAATTAAAAATGACAAAAGCAAGATCAGAGTAAAGCAAAATGTATCAGTCATGGAATTATTATTATTATTATTATTATTATTATTATTATTTTATACATGCATATCCTGCATCACTGAGCATGACAAGCTTTTGGTCTAGATTAGGGGATAGAAATACATAAAAATATTAATACTAAAATTAAAATGATGCTGTTTGTAAACGATTTTTTTCTGTGCATGAAAAACATGCAGAACAGCATCTGAACAGAAACATCTGTTTAGACAGTTTATGGATGGCTAAAGCATGGAACGATTACTATAATTTAACAATAAGTAAAACATATGAGACATTCAAATGTACCTCTGTCCTTCAAGAACTAATTTCCTAAACATTAATACTGGTACAGTGTCAAAAGACTTTGGACCTAAGTTAATGATTACCTCCACCAGAAAGTGCTGGTTCATATCTGCACCTTCACTGCTTATTCTATTAATAGTCAATTATGTTTGACTGGGTTTAAAGATTTACAATGGATTAGTGCTCTAAAATACACCTGTATGAGAAAGCAGCGTCAGCCAGTTCTTAGTGCAGTTAGGGATTAAGGGGCTTGCCAAGGACCCATCAGTGAAATCATTTTGATCACCCCAGGAGTTTTAGAAAGTCTTTCTACTTTCTTTTGGCTATAGGACTGTTTTGCAAGAGCTCATTTCCATCTGTTTTTATGGAAAGTGAAGGGGGGGGGGAGGGGGGGGAACACTAGAACCAGAAGCATCACTCCATTCCACCAGGAAGTCAAAAAATATAGCCGCAAAAAACATCACAATGGTACTCTGGATGGAATTAAGAAAATCGGCTTTGAATGTTTCCACTCTGTCCCTGAATCACATTTCTTCGAAGGACTGGTTCCTGCATAGGGATGCCCAGTGCCACCATATGCCATATGCAGGTCCCCGCGGGCAGCAGCTGATCTGCCCTCTGAGGCCACCTCGGCCCTACGAAGCACGTGAGATATACAAGCTAGCACAGATATCCAAATCTCCATGTGACTGGCAAATGCCTCAGGTTCCCTACATTTGTTTGCTGTTCCATAAGAGGCTGCTTGCTCTGTCAAGGTTTGTGCTCCTTAATCAGGTGGGCATGGAGACTCCCATCTGCAATGCTTCCACATCAGTCTGGACAAGATGTCCATCTGCAAACTGAACCCTTTTTCCATTTATGGAAAGCTTCTGGTTCAGGAAAAACCCTACTTTCTTCATAAATTATTACCACTTTTCATTATGAAAGATCAGAAATAAATTCTGGTATTCAAACATTCTTTGTACCCTAGAACAAGAAATAAAAATCCCGTAATGCCTTTAGGACAGTTTTTTCCTTGAGGCAATTTAACTGCAGTTTAAGTTAGTCAGCTTTGTGAAGTGAATTTCCGATCTCCAGGGTGTGTATTATTATTAGATGCAGTCCAGTTGATGTTGCTGAAGACTGCACTTCTCCAAACTGTCCTATCCTCCATCAGGGTTATGCAGATTCCTGCTAGCAATTATGAAGATTGAATCCACCTATCTTGTTGCTGGTTGTCCTCCCTCTTTTAACATCAACCTTTCCACACTTTGTGGTCTTTTCCAATGTACTGGCTGTTCATATATGAGTTTTAATCAACCATAGTACTACTTCTGTAAAAAAGTAAGGTAGGTGCATTGCTTAATGCTTTGGTAAAATGCCATCTTTTATCTTTGATAAAACTGAGAGTATAAGGACCATAGTGTTACATCCTGCCTATCTACCCCTCCTGTTTCTACCTAGTGTGGCTCTAACAAGCCACGCCCATTATGCATTCCTGCCCTTGTGTAATGCCCTCCAGCTGCCTTTCGTTCTGTCCCCTTGTTAGCCTCTACATAAAGGTGCTTCCCAGTCATCTGTTCCCCAGTCCTGGCATTGATGTTGTTATGCTTGTTAGTTTTGGTCATAGTTTCAGTTTAGAGGGCCTAAACCTGAATAAACCTGTCTTGTTTTGTCTTAATTCCTGCACTGTCACAACACACAGAGGTCATGAAGAAGAAACTCAAGGAAAATCACATCTGTGGCAGGATATATCTGGAGGCCTGAAAGAAACTTCTCCCATGACTTTATGGAACTACCTTGAATGTTAATGATGGTGAGACAGCTA